GTATGTGCCCATGGCTGGTCCAGCCATGTTTCTCTTGAGTCAGTGACTGTTTCTCAGGCCCAATGATGAGTGGTCCCTGACCTGGGTCATGGGGTGCTGTAATCCATGACCTGCATTTGCTGAGCAGAAAGAGGAGCTCTTGGCATTCCTCTTGTATCCAGATGCATGCCAGGTGTTTGTGTCCTAGCAGTTTGGGGTACTCTTCCTAGGAGATGGTGACCCCTTCAAGAACTGCAGGAAGCACTTGACTCTGCCTGATGCCTGTGGAGATGGGTTTTTCTGGCACATCTTGGCCCATGAGGGAGGTGTCTGTTTCCCTTCACCCACCTGCCTCATGCTAAGTGCCTCTTGTCTGCTCTCTGCTGTTTCTTTTGTGCCTCTCAGGAGCGAGAGTCCCTCAATGCCAACATTGTGGATGCCATCAACCAGGCATCGGACTGCTGGGGCATCCGATGCCTGCGCTACGAGATCAAGGACATCCACGTGCCCCCGCGCGTGAAGGAATCGATGCAGATGCAGGTTTGGTTCGCTGAGTGGAAGGTCTGGAAAAAAGGGGAAATCTCTTCCACACTGTCATTATTACCTGTGGTGAGGGCGCTTTGGCTGCAGACAGCTACTGGATAAATAGTTCCTGTCCTTATTTTGGTGGTGGTGACCCCTGTCTGGTACACGCAAGCCTTGCCAGCTCCCTTCAAGATCCCTGCTGGGCTCTGTCAGGGAACAAATTCAAGCGCTGAAGGTCTGCCTTTGAGAAAAGCTGAGCACCAGGTCTCCAAGCTGGCAGGGGGGAAGTAGGGGAAAGCAGCTGTCCGGTTGGGTATGGAGAGAGCTGGGGGGAGGACTGTTCAGTGTGAGGAGTTAAACCAGCCCTCACCAGGACCACACAGTGTTTTGTGGCCGTGTGCTCTTACTGTGCTAAGCCATGCTTTGTCCAGCAGGACTGAGGAGTGTGTCCCCATGGGTGGGATTTCACCAGCTCGGCCATGGTAGGCTGATGTCTGACCTGTGTTTGCAGGTGGAGGCAGAGCGACGGAAGCGAGCGACAGTGCTGGAGTCGGAGGGGACACGGGAATCAGCTATCAATGTGGCTGAGGGCCAGAAGCAGGCCCAGATCCTGGCCTCGGAAGCTGAGAAGGCTGAACAAATCAACAAAGCTGCTGGTAGTGCCTTGGGCTAGAACCTGTGGGGTCTGGGGATTCTGTAGCCCTCTGCACTGAGGGGTGATGCTGCTGGGGAGAGACCACATCAGTGTGGGCTAGGCTTCCTCAGCCATGCTGTTCCTTCCCTGCTGGGGCCTTTGGTCTGAGCTGACACCCCACAGCCTTGGGCAGCAAGAGGTGTGTGGCAGTGCTGCTGTTGCGGAAGAGAAGACGATGTATGCGTGAAATTATCTTGATTTGTTCCTTGCAAGTGCTTTGCTGTGGTTCTGATGCACACTCTGCTGTGGTTCTTTGCAGGAGAAGCCAATGCCATGCTGGTCAAGGCTAGGGCCAAGGCTGAGGCAATTCAGCTCCTGGCAGCTGCTCTGTCACAGCAGGTGAGCAACAGCTCCTTAGGGCATCCACCATTTTGGTGCTGGCACTGGGGGAGGTGAAACCACAGCCAAGGTGACAGCTAGGTTTCCCTTCGACACTCACTCACTCCCTGGCTTCTTCAGCAGCAGGAGCGAGTGAGAATCTTTGCTGTCCGGGAGGCTGTGACCACCTGGGTTGGGTTGGGAATATGGGCGTGGATGAGCTCTTGGTGGTGTGTGACTAGTCCCTCTCTCCCCAGCACGGCAGTGCCGCCGCCTCTCTCTCTGTGGCAGAGCAGTACGTGAACGCCTTCTCCAAGCTTGCCAAAGACTCCAACACTGTTCTGCTGCCTGCCAACACTGGCGATGTCACTAACATGGTCGCACAGGTCAGTGTGGATAGCTGTGTCCTGGCTGCATCCAAAGCAGTGTGGGCAGCAGGTTGTGGTAGAGGATTCTGCACTTCTACTCTGCTTTGGTGAGACCCATCTGAAGTGCTGCATCCAGCTCTGGGGACCTCAGCACAGGAAGGACATGGACCTGTTGGAGCAAGACCAGAGGAGGCCACCAAGATGATTAGAGGGCTGGCGTACCTCTGCTGTGAGGAAAGGCTGAGAGAATTGGGATTATCCAGCCTGAGGAAGAAAAGGCCTTATACCCCCTTCCAGTACCTAAAGGAGGCTTACCAGGAGGCTGGAGAGGAACATTTTAGAAGGGCATGTGGTGATGGGGCAAGGGGAAATGGATTTAAACTGGGAGTAGGTATAGATCAGGTATTAGGAACAAGTTCGTAACTGTGAGGGTGGTTGAGGCACTGGCACAGGTTGCCCAGAAAAGCTGTGGGTGCTCCATCCCTGGAAGTGCTCAGGGCCAGATTGGATGGGGCTTTGAGGAACCTGGTCTAGTGGAAGGTGC